ATCTTTAGCATAAACTAGTATCACCTCATTTGGTGACTCATTCAGTGGGCAGTTAGTAGACAAACATAAGGAACATAAGTGTATTGCAGCCTCACAAAACACACTAGTATGTACAGTATGAGCCTAGGACAATTATAAAGAGCATTGACTTGGAATTTTTTTTTTTTATTGTATTTTTAGGGAGTCTTTAAAGTGAAACACTGAGTACTAGACAGGTACCATCAATCGGTGAGATGTGACAGCCTTTTACACCTTGGCACATTGTGTTTCACTTTTGAGTATGATCAAAAAATACAGTGAATGTCTAAAAAGTTTTTTAATTACAGTGAGATACACTGTCACTAATCTCCCTCAAAATACCTCCCTTCACTTTGAGAATACCTGTCATTCTTGCCTCTGTCTGAGGCAGCTCCTGAAGTCCTCCTTGCACCATTAGTGTTGTGGCTGCATCAGTGGCCTGCAGCGCTTCGACGCACTTACCTTTCATGGTCACTGACTTGGGAGATGGACCTGAAGTTGCGCAGCAACTCAGCCAGTACACCAGGTGGATGAAGGCACAGTACCACGTTTTTACTTGACAAGAACAGCTATACCAGAAGTGGTATGTGACATGCAGCACTGTCCCAGTGGCGGAAAAAACTACCCATTTCTCAGGCCTTTTACTCTGAACATCATTTCCTTTTCTTTTGAAGCAGGGTCTCACTATGTATTCCAAGTGGCCCTGAACTCACTATGTAGCCCACGCTGGCCTAGAACTCATGATCCTCTTGCTCAGCCTCAGTGACTCTTGCTCAGCCTCAGTGATACTGTTTCTTCAATGAAAAGCTGTTATAATATTCAGAGTTGACTACAGCATTCCCAGATCCAGACCTGGCTCACAGCATTCTGTCAAGGTTAAGACCCACAACCAACAGCACCCTGACGCTGGGTCTTGATTGGCGCACGAGGAAACTGGGTGACTTCCACTGAGAACTATGAGCCTTGGTCTCAGGATCACCACCAGACATGAGTTTCATCTCCTGTGATGACATGTCTTAAAAAGCTAGAATCTGATACAGCAGGATTGCGCAATGCCAATGAAATGTGTTGTCTGAGCCATGATTCAGGGCACAGTTTAAAACACGCCTTCTTTCAACCCTCACTCACAGCCACTGACTGCACCACACTGACCTCACTGTGCTAAGGGCTGAGCTGCAACTTCTCTACCCAAGATCTCTGTAGCATTCGCTGTATTTTTTGATCATACCTCGAGTGTCGAGCTCAGCCTGGCCCAGGCAGACTCTACCATGGACAAAAGCTGGCAGTTAGCAGGGCTACACCTGCAACTCACACTGTTTTGGAACGAGGTGCGTTGCTCTGACTCCATGGTTCTGCTCTCCCACCCAGCCTTTGGTCTTCAAAGTGTCCATGTGATTTCTTTGTGAACTGAGAAACACAAAAAATGAGGAAGATCAAATACCCAAGGACAGCGCACCATAAACATTCATTATTGTCTGACAAGCTTCTCTAACCAGGGTTACTGCCTGCTCTGTAACATCAAACTCCAACAGGGAGGGAGCAACGCAGTAGAGCCTAACTCTGGTTCTACTGCACACTCAAGTTACCTAGCCTCCATATTTCTGTTTTTCTTTTTTGAGACCAGGTCTCATTATGTAGTTCATGCTGGCCTTGAACTCGCTACATAGCGTAGACTGGTCAAATTTGCAGAGATCTTCCTGCCCCAGCCTCCCAAGTGCTGGGATTATAGGAGTGTGCCACCATGCCCGGCCCCTCCAGTGTATTTCTCTTTCTTTTTTAAAAGTTTTTATTCCAGTGTATTTCTGAAGTTTAGCTTTCTCTCTCTCTCTTTTTTTCCCCCTGGTGCTAGGGATTGTATTTGGGACCCTGTGCTTGCTAGGCAGGTGCTTATGCCACTTAGCTATCTCCCCAGCTTGCTCCAGTGTATTTCTACAACTGGATGTTCTTTATTCCCAGTGCCTATTTGATTAAAATATTTTAGTGTGATAAAACTCAAATTCAGAGATGAAAAGAGTTGGTGGCACAGAGCACAGCATGGGCAAGGGCTGGGTTTCACCTTCAGAACAATAAAATAAAAAAATAACAAAATGAAATATGAATTATTTAAAAGTAGAAATATAACAAAGCAAAAACGGTCTGAAGATTTCTGTCAAAATGAAACTCGTTCATTAAGTATACTGTTTGTCAAAATGGAAAATTAATACTGACTCACTATACTAAGATGTAAACAAAACTGTAAAATCGTTCACAACCAAAATTACAGCTCTAAGAGAACCTGTTATCTGTACCTACTAAGCTAGAACGCCAACCTCCACCTTGCCGCTGCATAACCTGCGCAGCTGTGGATGTGCACGCTACTTGTTGGAACTAGCGAGCGCACCTGCAGCCTGAGCTCACACGATCTGCACCTTCGTCCCCACTGCCGACTGCTCTCTTCTAGTTACACCAATCACTGGAGTTAATTAACAATAATCCGACTCTGTGACTTTGATCTCTGCAATGGAGACTTTCCCAGAGTGCTGATGTGCAATCGTTAACATCTGTAGGGACCATGCGTGCCGATTATGAGGTGGGGATTGGAGCAGAGGAAAAGGAAAAGTAAAATATCAGAGACTATAAGGAGAAGGAGAGAGAAGGAAAGAAAGGAAGGGCAGCAAAAGTGGGCAGGAAAGCAGCAGCAGGAAGAACGAGAACAAGAGCGACAGCGCCCGTGGGTAGGAATGTGTGTCGGGGAGGCTGCAAACACTCTGCACCCTAGAAGCTCGGCTTCCACTGGTGACCCACTTTTCCAGAGTGGAATTCATTAGGAGCTCACTTGGACAAAGGAGTTCAGAGTGAACAAACTGTTCTGCAGCCAGGCGTGGTGGGCCATGTCAGTAATCACAGTCACTCAGGAGGCCGAGGTGAGGATCAGTTCAAGGTTGATCTAATGATGCTGCCCCCAAGATAAAACAGTCTGCTTTGTAAAAAGCCACTGGGTCTCAGGGAGGCATTACTAGATACACTCTCCAGCCAAACTCCAGGGCTACAGCTGTCAAGGTCAGTCTTTCTTTTTCTGGTTTACAGTGTTGCAGACTGAACCTATGGCCACTGTGCTGAATTACATTCCCAGCCCTCCTTCACCTTTTTACTTTGACGCCAGATCTCTCCAAGTCATGAAGTTGCCCAGCCTGCGCTTCAACCCGCCCCGCCCTCGGGGTGCTGAGACTGCGCCTGTGCAACACCACGTCTGCTCAGTGAGGGCCTTTGTTCACCAAGCCCTTCTTACCAACCCTTCCACAACAAAGAGACACTAGCAAGGCATTTATATTATTATCTCATTTTTACCTGTGATGGTGTGAAGCACCAGGAGAGACAGAGCTCCCGGGACCACTTTCTTTGAGTCGCTCTAATAACCTCTGGTACTTCTCTTTTTCTTCTTTTTGAACACCCTGAATAAAAGAAAAGCATGCAAGATAAATACTGGCACACTAAACCTAAAATTGAATCATAATCAGAGATTAACAGCTCAAATGCAGTCTACAGATGTGTTTCAAGTGCCAGCATAATGTTTTTAAATTTTCTTTGAATTAACTTCTAAGTTTACAAATTAAAAAAACAGCCAGGAGTGGTGGTGCACACCTCTAATCCCAGCACTCAGGAGGCTGAGGCAGGAGAATCACTAAGAGTTTGAGGCCAGCCTGGGCCACATAGTGAGTCCAGGCCAGCTTGAACTACACAGCAAGATCTTGTCACAAAAAACAAACAGAAAACCCAAAACCCCAAATTCTGACCGTTTTTGAAAACTGAATCATGAATCTGTGATTCTATGTCCTGCACCCCACTTCACTCGCTACATGACCTGCTAGATCTTGATGGCACCTGACAGGGCTGAATAAAAAAAGAGAAACCACACAAAAAAAGAGCAGAAACACTCCATTTGCATAACCAGAACTTTCCACTTGCAAAGTCAGCAGTGACCTTCCAGCAGTGACCCTGGAGAGGAACGAACATTCTCAGCTGTGAGATTATGCATGCTCGCTTGGGCCTCTCTCCCCGCTGACCTTGCCTTGCCCTCCCGGACAGTAAATTTTCATTTTCTTCTCACTCTCCACAGCAGCTTATTCCTTCTTCTGCCTGCCATACATTCTGATGGTTTTGCCCAAATCTCTGTTCATGCTACATTCTTTCTCTGAAAAATATCATTAGTTCTCCTGATTTAAACATCAATAAACAGGGCTGGTGAGATAGCTCAGCAGACTAAAGCGCCTGCTTAGGCAAGCTCAGGCAAGCGCAGGGACCTTGGTTTGATCCCCAGCACCATGTGCCAGTCCCGCCCCCAGGGCAGGCTGAGCTGGCCAGAGCCCGGGCATAGGGGCATACACCTGTAATCCCAGTAGTGGGGAGGCTGAAAACAGGATTACTAAGAGTCTGAGCTGCATAGTGAGACCCTGTAACAACCAAATACATAAAAATAAAGGTATGATTTGTGCACTTATTTAAAAAAAAAATGTCAATACACAAAAATGTCAGAATGTGTCTCCAACTCTGCCTTCTTCTTAGATCTACCATCACCTATATCCAAGAGTCTACAGGAGAAGTCTTCTTGCGTGTTTCACGGGTACTTTAAACAATGTCCAAAACTGAGGTCATCATCTTCTCCCTAAACACATAGGGCAGGGCATCGTGGTCAGTGACACAGTTACCCAAGGCTGAAACCTGGGCCTTGGGCTCTTCCCACTACCGCATTACACTCAGGGCAGGCACCCCAGACGGTGTTCTCTGTGCACGCATTTGCGCAGCCCTTCTCTGCTCTCCTCTCCTACCACCCTGACACCTTTAACGATTCTTCTTCCAAGTCTGCTCCAGGGCTAAGGTCTTTTCCTCTCTCTACCTGTTGGTTGAGTTCAAACTCCTAGAGGGCAGGCAATACATTTTACTCAAGTCTGAACTACAGGTAACTACCACAGTACCTGGAACTCACATACATAGTTCTGCGATAAAGTAAACAAGTGTCTCAGGCTGGATGTGGGGGTGCAGGCCTCTAATCCAAGCGCTCGGTAGGCTGAGGCAGAAGGATCACTGCCTTGGCTACAGTGAGTTCAAGGCCAGATTGAATAGCATTAATGCACCCTGTCTCAAAAAGACAGAAGACCCCAACTGTCTCAGGAAATCACCTAGTAAGTTAAAATAGTGGCTGGCTCTGTGAAATGTCAGATACAAAATAATTAAATTTTCCTGGAATAAATGAAGACCTCAAGAGAGAAGTGAAAAGTATCTCTCTGTCACGGTAAATGCTCTGAAAGGGGAAGGAAAAAGCACAGACACATGCCACCTACTTCCCTTACGAGTCACCAGTATGAATGTTTAGCCAAGAAACGAGTTAGGTAATTCAGGCACCCAAGAACGACTGGGCGGTGACTGGTGCAGGTCCACAGACCTCCTACAGGAGGACGTGCAGCGCTCACAGTGGCTGCCCAGAGCGTAGTCCCACAGGGCAGTGAGGCCAGGTGTGGCAGGGACACTGGAGACATAGTCACTGCACATCCTATGTAGCTCCAGAATCTTACACCACAGCCATATATTAATTCATTCTCCCAAAAATCATGCAAAATTTTTTAAAGAAATCAACCTAAAAAGACTTACTTCCTCCACAGTGCAGTGGGGACGCCTCAGGCCCTTGCCACCCTCTTCAGTTGCTATCTCGGTGACAGCCTGCTCCTGCGGTCTCCACAGCGAGGAACTCTCCGTGTTGCCTTTGCTATAGCGACGGCCAATAGGTCTTCTATTGTAGCCTTCTGAGTTCAAAGAAAAACTGAGAGAAAGAAGAAAATTCTCACCGAAGCGCTCCAAGGGCTGAGATTTATGCTTCTAGACCACGCTGAGGGGACACAGCCCTGACTGCTCCTGCTGAGGGTCCGTGAGAGCCACCCTCAAGCCCGTAGCGCCCCTGTGCAAGGCAGGCCTACGCTGCAGCGAAGCCCTCTTCCGCACAGCTGATTTCTACCATCGGCCCAGTGTGAGCGCCCACATTCACAGCACCCTCCCGTACTCTTTCTCTAGTCACTGGGTAACGTGGGAATTAATTATTGGTGAGATTATTTGTGTATGTCCATATCCCACGCTGGACTTTAACATCTGTGAAAAGAGATGCTCCATCGTTTCATCACTCTCCCTGGGTACAGACTGATACCAACAGCCATGATCCTGAATGCTAAATTAATAAATGCTAGGCTGGGCACAGTGGGATGTGTCTAGAGCCCTAGCCACTTGGGAGGCTGAGGCAGGAGGATTACCTTGAGCTTTGGAATTCAAAGCCATCCTGCACAACATAGTGAGATCCTGTCTTAAGTGGAAAAAAGGAGGAGGTGGGATATCTCAGTGATGGAACTGAGTGCTTAGCATACTGAAGCCCTGCAATTAATTACCAGGACTGCTTAAAAAAAAACAAAAAAACAAAAAAACAGTGGTGGTACATGCCTATAATCTTAGCACTCAGGAGGCTGAGGCAGGAGGATTGCCGTAATTTTGAGGCCAGCCTAAAACTATGTAGTAAGACTCTGTCTCAAAGAAAATGATTAATATTAGAGAATTGTAAAGACTGACCAGCCCACAGACAAGATTTCGTGTCTGCATCTTGTACTATGAAGACAACAATATGCCATGTATTAATTATTGTAACTGTCCTTTTATCCTGTCTTGAAACTGTCTCATTGCTATTTCTTTCTTAATAAAATTAATTTTAAAAAAGACTGACTAGCCCTAAAGTGATACATTTTACTCAGTATTAAAAATAGATAAAATTAATAAGGGCTAAAGAACCAAAGCACTGGAACTTCCGAAGGCACAGAAACTGCTGCCAGAACCGGTTGTCTCTCCTTTCCTGCCATGACCAGCAACAGAACAAACATAGCACACTGTGACTGATGTAGCAGCCTAAGAAGTGCATACCATCAGGTAGCACTGCTACAAAAATACTGACACTGAAGCAGATCCTGAGTAAACATCAGACAAAAATAACATATTAGTGTGGTCAACGACAAAAAAAGACTAAGGAGGTGTTGCAGATTAACGTAAATCAAAGAGATGTGAAGACTAGATTCAGGACTTAATTTGCACTACAACCTGGTCCGAGGTGGAGAGAAAAGCTATCACGGAAAAACTCAAATGAGAGCTGTGCATCACACGAGAATGTATACTCATCATGTTGTCTCCCTCTGCCAGGTAAGAATACATACTGATACTAAAGTCTTTGTTTTTGTACTCTATGATGATATAAATCAATTATTATCTTTTACATTTGGGGTGGGGGTTGAACCCAGGGCTTCACACTTGTGAGGCAAGTGATCGACTGCTGAGCTACACCCCAGCCCTTTTTCAACATTTTTCAGGTTTTTTTGGTGGAACTGGGGAGTGAACTCAGGCCCCTGCGCTTGCCAGGCAAGCACTTATTCCACTGAGCCAGCTCCCCGGCCCCTATTTTTCAGTTTTGAGATAAGGTTTTGTCAAGTCACTCAGATAGGATTAAATTCATGATCCATTCATCAGCCTCCCAAATTACAGGATTATGAATATGTGCTACAATGCCTGGATATGAACTGGTTCTTAAGAAATACACTCAAGTATTTAAAATTAAGAGCTAAAAGTCAAAGACATATTCTCAAATTGTTCAGAAAAAATTATGCACATATGACAAAGAGTGATAGAAGTAAGTGTAGCAAAATAACAACTGGTGAAATGGAGTCAAGGACCAGGCATGGGGCCACACCCTGGACTCCCAGTACTCAGGAGGCTGAGGCAGGAGTTGGAGGCCGATTGGGGCACACAGCAATGTCCTGTCTCAAAAAACCAAACCAAACCAAATAGTTAACAAACATTAAACCAAAGTCATACCAAGTATATGCTCTGACTATAAAATAATTAAATTAGAATCAGGTATCTAGAATGTTCCAAATAGTTAGAAATTAAACAACGTACTTCAAACCTTTGAAATAATTACAGGTCAGCCAGGCACACTGCTACACACCTGTAATCCTAGTCATGAAACTTCGGCAGGAGGACTCAAATTCAAGACTACCCTGGACAATCAGTAAGACTTGTCTCAAAATTTAAAAACAAAAAAAAAAGGGCCTAGGAAGGTAGCTCAGTGCAGAGCACGCTGCATTCTATTCCTCTGCCTCCAGCACTGGAAATGAATGAATGTTGACAAGGATGCTGTGAAAAAGGAACCCTTATACACTACTGGTGGTGATGTTAAGTCGTAGAGTCGCTATGGAATTCAGTAGACTGGAGCCTCAAAAGACTAGAAACAGAGCTACAACTTGACCCAGCTCTACTGCTTCTAGGTCTATACATGACAGAATTAGAGTCTGCATGGTAGAGAGATACTTGCACACACATATTACGGCCCAGCTTACAAGAGCTAAGCTATGGAACCAGCCTAGGTGTCCACCCATGAACGAAGGGATTGAAAAAATGTGCTATACACAATGGAGTATAATTAGCCACAATGTGCAGTCATGTCATCTACAGGAAAATAGATCAAATGGAGACAGATGTTAAGAGAAATAAGTCAGACAAATATTACATATTATCTCTCACATGTGGAATCTACAAAAATAAATAAATAAAATAAAATAAAATAAAATAAAACAAAACTGCTCCAGCCTAATAGCGCAACGGACTAAAGCGCCTGCTTAGGCAGAGCTCATCGGCTGGAGTTCAATCCCTGGCATGCCGTGCCGGTCCTGCCCCCAGGACGCACTGAGACTGTGACTGAGTGCAGGCATGATGGCATGGTAGTGCATGCCTGTAATCCCAGCACTTGGGAGGCTGAAAACAGAAGCACTACGAGTCTGATCTGTGTAGTGAGACCTCGTACTTTACAAGAATGGACTACACAGCAAGGCCCTGTCTCAAAATACCAAAACAAAACAAAACAAAACAAAAAACCCCAAAACAGAGGCTGATGAATAAAAGTAGAAGGCAGACTATTAGAGAAGAGTAAGTGAACAGCAGGAGGGGAATGCAAGTGCAAGCAGGGAAGAGGAGGTGGAAATGACCAAAGTGTGCTATATCCATACACGTTATGTAATAAAATGCAACCTGTTAATATGCACAATATGCACTAGTAAACAAACAGACCTCAAATTCAAGGCTACCACACAAAGCGTGTTCTCAAACAGGAAAATTGTATCAACTCACAAAGTCTAACATCTATCTACAGGATATTAGAAAGTGAGAACACAGAAAAAGGAAAGAAAAAAAATACTAATAAAATAAAAAGGAGCCAAACAAGGTGGCATATGCCTGTAATCCCAGCACTCCTGGGGATTGAGGTAGGAGGACTGTAAGCTCAGCGTGGGCAATTTAGTGACTCAATGAGACCCCCTGGCCCTCAAAACCTAAAAAGGTCTGAGGTTACAGCTCAGTACATAGGCCTGGGTTCAATCTTCAGTACTGGAATAAAAAAAAAAGAACATTCTACAGAACCGACCGGTATAGTGGTCAGTGTGCAAAACTTATCTTATTGATACCCATACTTCTCTGTATGCAAGTTATATTCTTTTAAAAACTTAAGAAAGTAACAATTCTTTTAAAACAAATCAGATCAGGCTATGGGCATATTGTATAGTAGAAAAAGTTCAACTGCCAGGTATGGTGGTGCACACCTGCAATCTCAGCACTCAGGAGGCTGAGGCAAGAAGATCACTGTGAGTTCAAGGCCAGCCTGGACCACACAGTGAGTTCAAGGCCAGCTTGTACGACATAGTAAGACCCCATCTCAAAAACCAAAACAAAACAAAAAGCCTAAAAAACAAACCAAAAGTTCAAGTCTCTTGTTGTGTGACACTGGGCGAGTCCTAAACCTCAGTGTACCTAAAGGTGCTACACAGGAGTACACAAGTGAGTGTGCGTGGCTGGAGAAAGCACCCGAGAAGGACCCGAGTTTCCTCTTCCTGAAAGGCAGAACCCGACACTTACCCAGACGAGGGCAGGACTCTTCGTGGCTGATCTCGTGCTACCATCACTCTGATCTTTGGATAGTCGCTTATTCCATTGGGAGATTTATTACCTGAAGAATGTATTTGTGATTGTGAAAGAAAGAAAGAAAAAACCCTTGTGAACAGCCTGCATTAGGACAAAAAAAAATCTGTGAGCGATTTACAGAACTAAGAGTCATTTTCTAAAATTCTCTCTATGAGTTGACAGTATGAGAACGCAGCATAAATGCAAAAAGTGGATGACAAAGCACTACCACAGGCTGGGAGCGCAGCTCAGCGGGACAGCCCTTGCACAGACACAAGACCTGGGCGTGATCCCTAGCGCCATAACAAGTAATAGCAACAACAACAAATTAATATTCAAACATGAACAGATCAAATTCAACTTGTAGCAACTTTTGAAATAAAAGAATTCAAACACCATCTTTGTTTCAAATCCTTTGGGACTCTAGATCCTCAGACCGGGTATGTGTTTATTCTTCCTTGGTCTTCTCTGCACCACAGATACTGGAGGAGTTTAACTCCAATGTACACAGCATTTCTTCGCTTCTTACACTCTGGCTCCTGAGCCCACCACTTTCCCAATATTGTGCTGGGGTATAGAAGTCAAATGTTCCCAAAAGCCTCAGGAGCTCGTAGGTGACAATCTGGAAGGCGGACGGACCACAGGACGCTGTGCTCATCAGGGGGTCAATCAGTTCATGATGCGCGCACAGCTGAACATGCACTTACGCAGTGGGGCCGGTCTGGAGGAGGTGATCCGCTGGGGAGGCCTTTGGAGGGTGTATCTCTGGCTCTGGTTCTTCCCTCTCTGCTCCTGGCTGCCATGAGTCAGACAGCTTTCACCATGAGGGCCTTCTGCCCTGCCTTTTTGGTCTCAGAGCTAGCCAAACAGCAACTGTACCCTCTCCAACTGTGATCCAAGATAAAAATCTCAAGTCGTGGGGGCTTTGTCCCAGCAAGAAAAAGCTAATATACATCATTTTTCTAATTTCTCCTTCCTGTAGGATTTTTTTTTTTTTTTTTGGTGAACTGGGGATTGAACTCAGGCCCTTGGGCTTGCCAGTCCTCTAGGATTTTATAAGCCTCATTATATAGCACACATCAGTACCACGTCTCAGAACTCTAGCTTCTCCCTACTTTTCCCCAACACAGCATTTTGTATCATACAGAAATAATTGTGACTTCACTGCAGGATGTAATGACAAGATGGAAAAGTTCTAGTCCACATAAGCGCAGGACCTGGGAGCCCAGGGCTGCTCCACAAGCAGAAGATGAGCCCCTCAAGGGCAGGGACGGGCTTCATGCTTTCATTATTACTGACAACAGCACGGCGCCTAGTACAGAGTACACTCTCAGGAAATATTTTTTTAAATGACTGAGGTTTGATCTAAGTTACATTAAGCACACTGAGAAAGCAAACAGAGAACACAACAGTGAACTTACAGTCAATAATTCCAAAGAAAAGGTCCGAGTTGAGATCCTTATCTGAAGATCTAAGTATTGATGCTTAAAAAGTATCTGACTGCAGATTTCAGAGTTTTGCGTCGAAACTCTAAAATCTGAAACACTTCGGTCCTGAGAACCTTAGCTAATACCCACTCAACCTGGACCTGCCTTTCAGAACGGCAGAGAAAGTACGTCTCTGTGCTCATCCAGCCTAGCTCTGGTCTTCCTCTCACTCACCCAGTTTCAGCATGTTGTTCCTGGAGGCAGAACCTTTCAGTTCACAAGATGAAGAGCTCGAAAATACCTTAAAATCAAACAGAATCACCTCTTTAGCATCTAAGTTTTGAAAATGAGTTTTACCATACAAAAAGATCACTGTTAGAAATTATTTCTTAGCTCAAAGAAGTGATATTAAGCTCAAAGGTTTGTCAAGATCGCAAAATGATAAAAAAAAATGATAATTTCAGGATCTTTACATGAGCTTAAGAAAATTAGAAGCAATAATTTTTCTTTTTTTTTTTCTTTTTGTTTTTTGAGAGAGGGTCTCACCAGGCAGTTCAGGCTGTCCTTGAGCTTGTTATATATAGCCCAGGATAGCCTGCACTTGCAGCAATCCTCCTGCTTCAACCTCCCCAGTGCTAGGATTATAAGCATGTACCACACCTGGTCAGTATCATTTTCAAATATTTTTTAAAATATTTAAATTTTATCCTTTAATTTTTTGACCTGTGTAGCACAGGTAATAAAGAATGAACATTTCTGGAAAGAATTTATTCTGTACCTTCATTCCTCAAAAGATAGTATTTCTAAAATTTATTCTTATTATTTTTTAAAATTTAACTTCAATAAGTAAAGTCCTGAGTTCAATTCCCAGCACCAAGTAACACAAAACAAAACATGATCCCCAGGGGAGCCCTGCCCGACTGACCTCTCCCGGAGGGGCCACATTCCGTGTCCCGTTACAAGCAGAAGTCACCATGGGCTTCGTGGTCAGCTGGAATGGGAATCCGAACAAGCTGGCAGCATTGTAGAGACGGCTTTTCACTTGGTGAATAAAGCAATCTAGAAAGTGCCACAAACTATAAATAAAGAGTAATAAACTTCTAGTGGAATAAAAAAGACAACTTGGGAAGAACTTCCATTATGTTTTTTATTGAAAGGCCTATTTCAAACACTGGAATAAAAAGTATCTACAAAAATATTTTCGTGTAACTGCATAACTAGAATTCCACTACTGTGATTTTTGTTTTTATAATAAATAGCAGAGATCATACAAAAACATAAAACCATCACCTTAGCCAATGACAAACTGACTCACAAAGAATGTTTTGTAATGGCAGCTCTTAAGCAGTGAGCTTTCCAGAATACGTAGAATGTGTTTTTACCAGAGGTGAGGGTACAATTAAACAAGGAACGTGTGTGCACGCGTGTGGGGAGGGGAGCTTCACAGAATCTAAGGAAGCTCTGTCATTTACTTGCTGCTGCTCCGTCCTTCTTTCTCAGGCAGGTAACAACAGGTTGCCTGCAATGCCTAAGCCCTTTTGTAGGGCTCTGTAACCCTTGGCGAGGTGTAGTGTATGCACGGCTCCTAGCCATCTACGATGGAACTGGGCTACCCCTCCACGGGGGTCCATGTGTTAGAGGATCTCAGAGTGACCTCTTGGTAACACGAAGATTACAAAATGAGTAAGTCAACAAGGAGGAAGGGCACATTTCAGGACTTCCCCACTTCCTCCTCTTACAGCCCTACTTCCCCACTTCCTACGCATCTCCACTGTCTACAACTTCCTTCTCCTTCATTGGAAGGGTGTTCCAATGCGCTCATTACCACTGCACAGAAAAATCACCCAAAATAATGGCTTTAAGCAGCAAGAGCTCAAGAATACACAAAATAAATACTTTTCAAAAAGACAGGTAAATAACTTCAGCAAATGGTACAAGGTAAAGTAGACCACACCTTGAAATAGTTTGCCACTTGAGAAAAAGGTACCAAAGTCTGCAAGTAAACTGCTTTTTGTTTTTAGAATCGAACAGCACTCCGAGTCCTCCGGTAGCACTTCTGTCCTGTTGTGCTTTCTAACCCAGAGAACCCACAGCTCACTGTCCGGACCCGAGGCCAAGAGGGGCCCTTGAGCACACAGGCCCTTCAGCAGCAGGCACCACGAGTACTGCAATATTTTATTTCCTTACAAGGTTTGTTTACAACTGTGTGTGCCTTAAGATTACATCAAAAGAGCTTGCTGAGTTTTCTTAAAAACAGGAGAAAGGTAGGTCTGTATATTAGAGGAAGAATGACCTTACTTTCCGGGCTAACACCAGTCGAAGTTGACCTCTTAAAATTCCTTTCACCCGTAAAATCATGAGTCTGCTACTCTGATACCCCTTTTCTTTCCTTTTGTCCTTGCTTTGTTTTCCTTTCAAAAGCAACCGAGCTGTAATGCCCAGGAGAGTAGCTGGTAGCCATATGTGGTTAACTACTAATTCTGTTTCAATTAATTAAAATTAAAATTTCAAGTTAACCATATTTTAAATGCTTGACAGCCATCCACACAGGACAGTTTATTGGTCAGTAAGGTATAAGACTTTAACAGACTCACTAAAAAGTTTTGTATTTGTGAGCCACCACTTTCTCCTTGGCTTTGATTCCCTTTTACAGTCTGCCTTTCAGAAGATTTTAATGGCTGGGTGTGGCAGTGCACACCTGTGGACTCCACATTCCAGGGGCCAGGCAGGAAGATCTCGTGAGTTCAAGGCCCGTGTGGGCTACAAAGTGAGTTTAAGACGGGTCTGAATTACAAAACAAGACTTTGTCTCAAAAATAGTAACAATAATTTACTGAGCCTCTCAATCACTTTTAAATTACATAAGATTGCTACTTTGCCTTTCTTAGTTCTTACATATCTTCATCGTTTAACACTTATCTCAAACCCCTACCAGACAATCACAAAAGGTCCTCAATTACTAAGACCTTGTTTTACGCATTTTTATATTTCTTATAGAACCTAACACATTGTTTAGCGTTGAGACACTCTCAATAAGTAGTCACTGGAATTAAATGAAATACTGAATAATCTCACATTCAATTATCATGTCTAGAGTAGACACAAATTCATAGTGATTGTTGAAAAAGAGAAATACAGTATGCTACTCGCCTTTTCCTTTTAATCTAGTTTTATTCTCTTCCAACTCTTCAGTTACAGGTAAGTAAAAGATCCATGACAACAAATTAGCTTGGTTCCCTCTGCCATAGGAACTTAATCACTCAGTTTGAAGCAGTTTTTACAATGTTCCCTTCTCAAAAATGAAAAAGAAAAAAAGCATCTGTTTAGGAGGAGGATTTAGAACTTTAAACTGCAGAATACAAAGCCTTCTTTATCTGAAAACACTCAAGTCCCTACTAACAGTGACCACCTCTGCAAACGATAAAGTAGAAAAGAGTAAGGAAAGAGACTTGTCACTCCATATACTTTTTCCCTGTTGAATTTCATTCCACACATATTTTTCTATTAACAACTAATTTTAAAAATTTCTATTTAGTACCTAATCTTGGCCTTTTAGCTGGTATTTCATCAGTGTCCACTGCAGAAAACACAGAGCTGAAAAGAGAGAAAGAATGTAAGTACACGAGTATAGAATATGTACACACATCCATTTCTATGAATAAACTGAAGTATTCAAAGCTGTGGCTGTAGCTCAGATTAGAATTATGTGCTTAGTGTATACAATGTTCTGGGTTAAATCTCCAGCACTAAAACAAACTAACAAACCTTCCTATTTATCATCCAACATAACCCTCTTCTATCCATTTTGTCATAAAAATGTGATCCAACAGATGTTTTAAAAGAGAATCCCTGTAACCTGACGAAACTTCAAATTCCAAAACGAAAGACTTTCCTTTTGAAAGATGATGTGCAGAGAAAGTTGTCTTTCTCTTCAGGTGACAACAGAAGCAGCATTAAAAGTATTCTTAGCTAGAACAGGGTGCTATCTTTAACTGCACTTGATAGGTTCCCCGCTCCACCGGCAATCAAACTCAAACCTTGCACTGCCAGGCAGATGCTGCGCCACTGAGCTACGTCCCCAGCCCCAGCTGTATCTGATCATGGGACTACTTCAGTAATTATGAAGATGCTGGGATTCAGGCATGTTTTCAGACCCCTGTATGAAAAAGGCTAAGGGCATATGATACACTAGTAGTCATTCTTTTGAATTCCTAAAATCAATCGTATTTAGGAAAAAAATCAGTAGAAAGAGACATCAGGAAAGAACATAACTGTAAACCATTTTTGTCTTTTTAAAATCTTGCTGTGCTGCCCAGCCTGGCCTTGAGCTTGCTGTGATGCTTAGCTGACCTCCAACTCAAAATCCTCCTGCCTCAGCTTCCTGAGTGCTGTGATTACAGGCTTGGGCCATCATGCCCAGCTGGGTTATAAATGTAAGTGCCCCTCAAGACCTCCTGGCTTCATTTTGACACGACTGGCTCACACGCTGTAAGCCAAACGCCCCAGCACTGAGCTACGCCCCCAAGCATGAAGAGCTACTTGAGATGTGGGATGTACACACCTACGGAAAAGCACAGCAGCTTGATCTCCAAACCCTTGTTCCTCTGACTGGCAGAATTAGCACCAAAAAGAGCAAAGAAGACACAGGGTGCGGCAGCTATGGTGTAGGTCTGTGATCCCTGCACTTTGGGGGGCCGAGGAATGAAGATCAAAAGTTCAAGCCCAGTGTGGACAGTTTAGTGACATAGCAAGGCACCCATGTCAAAACAAAGGCTGGGGATGTAACTCAATTCAAAGATCCTGGGCTCAAACTTGAGTTGGGCAGGGGAATTCATTTATTTATATTTACTGATTGCCTAAACTGGCCTCACACTCAGTGATCCTCCTGCCTCAGCCTCTGGCTGCTAGGATTATAGGCGTGGATCACCACACCTGGTGTGTGGGGGGGGGGGGTTAAACAGAAAAAACTTGACAGTCTTCTTCAGCAAACATGCAGCAAGTGTTTATCATGCTCCAGACCTCGCACACCAGTCCACCACATACACTAAGCTTCAGTTTAGACACTTTGTAACAGCATCAACCCAACTAAAAGACCGAAAGGAAGAATAAATTAAGTGCCTCCAGCGCAGAGGCTACAGTTTCGTCGACAGCGAAAGTCATCAATGACCTACATCCTAGATTCCTATATTAGTCATTCGGTTTCCTCTCGCTGCCAGATACCAACTTTCGTGCTACCTCCTTTGACCCTTAGAAAACTCAAATCAGCCAGGTTCTGTCTGTCGCCCCAGGTCCTTGGGGGTTGGGGGCCAAGATAGAAAATGTGCTTAAACCTGCGCAAGTGCTGCTCTCAAAAAAGAAATGAGAAGGAAGAAAGACCAGGGGGAGTGGAGGGAAGAGAAAAGGGAGAGAAAAAAAGAATTAGGTTGGGGGCGTGGCTCAGTGGAGTGGGCAATACAGGTGGCCTAGCAACAAAAAATAAAACGAAAAGAAAAAGAAAAAAGAAATTAGATCACTAAAAATTACGTGTACGGAATTTCCATGGGACTTTATTTTCTACATTAATTCTTACGCAAAGGGAGGCATTATCAAAGGTAGCGGATGGCAAGCAAGAGCAATCCGTACTTCCCCTCAAATTTTAACTAAATTTTAGCTTTCACACTACTGATTTCTCAAAGGAGGGTGGTACCTAATCCCCCCCACCCCATTAACCAATTCTAAAGCACACAACCAGGTCCCTCCCCCTTTCGGCCCCAAACACACAGTTTGACAGCTGTTTTCGAACAAGACAGCTGCTGTTCCTCGGCGCTAGAAGTGTTTTCAGTCGGCGCGACTTTGGGCAAAGCTCGGAACATCGTTTCCCTCAACCGCGCCCCGCCGTCCGCGGGTGACAGCTGGGGGGGCGCGCGCTGCGGAACCCCGCGCCGCCACGCCGCGTCCGCACGCGGAGCCTCAGAGCAGGCAGCCGGCCGGTGCAGCCGGCTCGGACCACGCTCGCCGGCCGCTCGCAGCGGGGGGCGCTCTCCTCCCGGCCCCGGGGCCGCGCGCCGCGACGTCACCGGGGCACCGCGGCCGTGGGGGAGGGGACGCCCGGGCCTCGCGCGGGCCCTTCTCCTTCTCACCTGTTCGAGCGCCGCCTCTTCAGCAGGGCCCGGGCAGGGGGCGCCGAGCGGTCGCAGAAACGGAAAATGGTGCCGAGGATCCTAATCAGCCATCTGTACATACCAAGCCCAAGCAGCAGCGGCAGCCGACACACCCCGAGACGCGGACCCCAGAGCTGTCGCCACCACTGCCGCCTTCCCCGCTTCGGCCCACACCGCCTAGACCCAGTCGCTGGCTGGTGACGCGACTCCAGGGCCCATGGATTCCACGCTCCCCGCGCGAAGGGGGCCCCAGCCGGCCCGCCGCCGCCGCTCCTGACGTCACCTCCTCCCGCCCGACCGGAAAGCGTCCTGCCGGAGCTGCGCACGCGCAGCGTGGCCCCGCCCCCTCCTCGCGAGCCTAGCAACAAGAACGCCTGCGCGAGGTCCGGAGCCAACCGCTGACGAGAGCCGGCGGGCTGCGGGTGGGGCTTTGGTTTTGTCCAATCGCAGTCGGCCTGCGGGACAAGGCCCACGGGTCACGTGCGCTGTCGCCCGGCTTTGCGGCTAGCTTGCCAGCGTCCCGGTGCAGGTGCATTCAGTTGTCGAGTACGCGCGGTGGAAGTGTGCCAGGTTAGTTAGCAAGTGTTTAAATGCCTTAGGCGGCTTTTGGGTTGACCCCACTTCTCCCCCAAACCGAATGCAATAGGGATGTTAAGTCCTTTTTATAAACAGGGACAATCCAATGACACAATAAATAGTTTGCCTACGATCACGAAGCTGTCTACTGGCACTGTTGGAGCTTGAGCCGGAGAAAGAATACCAGCGTCAGTCTAGTGCCTTGGAGATCAGTGTGTAGGGAGAGACAAGGACGTCGGTAATTGCTTTAGGGTCAGAGGGCAGATCTCGGAGGTAGATGCCAAGCCTAAGAGTGGACAAGGGCGCCTCCCTACGTAGCTGCTGCAAATTGTGCACAGAAATGTTTGACTTTTCCCTCTGGAGGCCTGATGATTTCCGTTTATGTAATGAACATCCAATAGGCAGGAAGGAAAAAATGGAACACAATTATTAATGAGCAAAACCAAGGAAGCCAGGGCTGGTGAGATGGCTCAGTGGTCTAAAGCATTTACTTAGAACAAGCTTAGCAAAGCACAGCGACCGCGGTTCAA